TTCTGGAAAGATTGAGGTTTACTGGATGACGACATTCAAGACCTAGTCTCTCTTGTCATATATATGGTAACACTATAGTAACCTCGTTGTAATATACCCACAAAGTATGCGTCTTGAATGCCTTCGCTTAAAATTTGTTCACCTTTTTACCTGGTTTTATTATTGCATTATTTAATTATTTGATTATTTAATTATCTAATTATTTAATTAATTTAACTTTTTAGCTGAGATTAAATTCAGGGATTCCCATAAAACATGATGAGGAAAACTACAGTGGTCGTCGTGTATATCAATACAATGAAGATGACTTACTTCTTCAATTTAATTTCACGCCTAGCTTTAAATACAGCAGGGTAAAGGCATACACAAGGTGATTAAGCTTCTCTATAGACTCTCTCCGATGTGTTAAAATCTTTTAGTCGCAAAATATATCTCAAACCTGAAACAAGGATGATTTAATTACAATGTTTCTGGAGTTATAAAATGCGGGTATTTGTTTTAATAAAAATCATAGCAAATGATTAACTTTAAGAAGCACAAATGGTAAAGGATACAGTTTAAGGTTGTTGAATGAGTGGAGTAAATATTTATAAACTGATAAGTTGATACTATGGAAATAAAGTTCTGAACATTGTTTGTTACTAGTATTATGATTGTAATTGAAAGGGAAACTTACTATTAGGTCTTAACACACTCGAAATAGAGAGGTGATTGATTTGTGACTAAAACATAATTGTCTTCTGAAAATAATTGCTTGTTTAAAAAAAAAAGATTGTTTTCACTTGGAATTTTAACTTATTTCACTTTAACATGAGCGGTTTTGGTACACAATCGAGTATCAGAGTTGGGGTTGGGTTTGGTGTGTAGGACTCCGTCAGAGAAATAAATCCTTGGCAAACCTGGTAAAGACGACTTTCAAAGGCTCTGGGGAGTTTAAAATGATTTTGTTCAACAAGCAGAGACACATAACATATCGTAAACAAAGATAAGCTGTCAAAATTAAAAGGGAAAATACCAAGGAGTATAAAATAGAAGGGAGATACAACTGACGCAACCCGCCCTACCATATGATTATACATGCTTTGCAGACGGTACTCCATTTGTATAAGAAATATTCAGAATTGGTTATTGTATACGCGGTAATTGTACATCAGACAAATATTTCTTATGCAAATGGAGTACCGTCTGCAAAGCATGTATAATCATATGGTAGGGTGGTCCGCGTCAGTTGTATCTTCGCTTCTATTTCATACTCCTTGGAAAATAAATATTCTTTGCTATCTAAACCTTTATACTGTTTATTGCCATTAAAACAAAGTACAAAGTTAATTGTAGACTTTTGTGACGCAACTCTTTGAATTACGCCGACAAACCCTTTATAAAAAATTGAACCAGGATCAAATCTTAATGGAACTGTACGCGTAATTTCAAGTTACAATCTTTGCAAATATGGCAATTCCTGATTCACAACGGTACCCTCAAAGCTTTGTCTGGTCAAGTATAAATTAGATATCAATGATAATAATTCTAAAAACAGATTTTTTTTTAATTGAAGTTTCTCTACTTTTAAGACTTGCGTATTTCTACAGCTGAAAAACATATAGAAACTAACAGATTAAATGAATTTTAAGCCAAGAAAAACGACAATATCTCCCACAATATCAATCAGGGGCACGGCGTTGAAACCTTTGTATGGAGGGTCTGCAGATTTATGATCTGAAAATTGGGCTGGTCTTACTCACAACAATATCCTGGAAACTGATAAGAAATGTGTAAGATAATTGACTTTGACAATTTCTTTCATTGTTTCTGTTGCAGAAATGCGTTACTCACTTTAATTTAGAAACACAAGTGAACTAAAATGATAAAAAAGAGATAGAAATTATGATTATTCTTGATCAGAAAGGGCTTTTAACGTTTTTTGCAATAACTGAAAAAGTATTGGTCTGTCTGAGGCTGTTTAATTTTTTTCACATGCCCCTCACTTCAGGCTAAAATCTGGGTATTTATACTTACTGCAAAAGTTCTGATTTTAGAAGTTTTGGCTTGGTTTGGGTCCGCCGAAACCTCTGAATAATTTATGAACGGAGAGCAACCATACACACACACTCAAACAATCATACATAGACCGAGCCACATCAATCCAGTGTCCGAGCAACATCAATATTGTGTTCTAAAATGCAAATAAATCTGAAATCCGAGCCAAATCAATGTTGTGCCAGAGCCACATCAATCTTGTGTCTTAGCCAAATTAATTCTGTGTTTGAGCCACACCAATCTAGGTGTCAGAGCATCATTAATCTGGTCAGGTGTCCTAGTCAAATCAATGCTGTGCCCGAGCCACATAAATCTACTGTCCGGGCTAAATCAATTTAGTGTCCGAGCCTCATCAATCCGGTTTCAGATTAAGAATTAATATTTTATTTGACTATGATTTAAAGATTTTGATAAAATTACCAAGTAATTATTTAGAGGTGGCTCGAAATAGAACATTACACTACAGAACAGTTGGCTCGGACGCAAAATTGTTGAGGTTCGCCTTCCCTCCCTCACTACTCAGACATTCTTTGAGTTTTTTTTCTCTGGTAAACTGCAGTAATAGTCAATCAAAGCTACCATTTACACTAGTTTACAGAAACCAATACGATTCCGGTGTCGTATATAAAAATCTATCAATTTTTGTCTTTCTAAAAATGTTCAATTTATCATATAAGCTTTTTAATTCTACTAATACAATTTTGCATGGTTTTCAAATATAATATGCAGTGCAATTTGCACAATTCCTCGGTCACGTTGCAAATTTTCGCAAGAATTGATTTATTGATTATAATTATTGATTATAATTTTCATATTTTCAAGACTAAAAATGATGGAAAATCCCGGTTAATTATGAAGTTTTCATTCATAATTAATTTGATAAAATTAAAGTTTGAAGTTTCCACGTAATATATCGTCATGAAGAGAGCAGTTCAACCTGAACCACGGAACAAACGGTTCACTTCTTTTAGTAATAATAATAATACCATTTTATTATTATTATTATTAATTATTGAGGTCGGACCTTTTTTTAAGAGACTGCGCTAAACTTCAACGTTTAATAAATTGATTTCATTAAATTGATTTTAGTCTGTAAATACAGCTGTCTTATTTTCTCGCGATTTTTTAATGACCATTCGATGATATCCAGATGGAATAAACTTAATCCGCAGATAGAAATAAGTTCTTTCTTACACGATTAACTGGACAAAAGTTCAGAGCTCTGAGATCGAATTTTTTTTGTGAGAACTTGGTTATCTACAGAGTGTCCCATATCATATCGGATTATCTCCAAGCTTTAACGCCAAAATATGCACTTACTACCCAAAAAACCTGGTATTTTCTGCAAGAAATTTTTATATTAGTCTTATACATTTTTTATGACTCATTCTTTCTGATTTTCAAATAAGTCTCTTAAATCTCAATTTAGAGGTAAGTTTAAAGGTTGTTTAATTTTGGACCAAAAACCGAGATTGAATTTAAATTAAAGAAATCGAACTGAACTCACTTTTTAGATTTAAATTTTGGTTCCGGTAACAGGTTACAGGTCTAAAAAAGGATTTTATTGAACGAACGATTTTACCGAACGATCGTTAAGTAAGACAAACGAAACAGTGGAAAACGAATGATACGAAATAATTTTTTTAAACGACGGAAAAAACGAACGCAATTTGTTTTATCTTTGCTTAATCCTAAAAATAAGAAATTAAAAAACTGTATTCATAGGCTGAACACTAAATTTAACCTAGGCAATTAATAATTTAACATGTCGTCTTAGTAGTCTCATCCTTTGTGGGTAACCCTGTATATAAGAGGGGCAATTTGATACGTCGCACCTCAAAAGATACAGTTTTGCTAATGAGATTAATAATACCTAAGTTACCACCCCTAAGCTGAAAACTTTTGAATGCTTGATCTTTTTTTTTCTTAATCTCCAGATTAAATAATGCTTGTTCTCCTCTTGTTGTTAATCTCCAGATTATTTAACCGATCGGGATTAAGGATATTACATTCTAAAGTTTTCAGCTCTGATTATATAATAGAAATTAAACCTCAGTCTACTTTCTATTTACATGGAAACCTTGTTTTACAAACTATGCCTATTCTTGTTTTTATACAACTAGACTTTTAAGGCGCAATTTGCTTTGTTTTTAAGATTTTAACCGTTTCTTTTCAAGTCGACATTTTTCACTTGATTCACGGATATTTGGGTTTTAATTGGTGGATTTAAAAAAATGTTAAATACATTAATTCTTCTTTATCTATATATACTAGCTTGGGTCCGGCCTCAATAAAGTTTCAATAGAAGTAAATATTTCAATTTAATGTTTTGCCCCGACATAATGATCCATCTCTCATTGGATGATGAGATAGATAAATAGATAGAGGATACTGCCAAGCAATTTCTATTGGTTTAGAATAGACACCAAACACATGACTGAATCCTGATTGGATCAGGCAAGCCGACGGTAGGGTTGTTCCTGGGAACGATCGTTCTTTCATAAGAACAAACAGAACGATCAAAAACGATCCCATCGTTCTGAAAGAAATAACGAAGCCATGGAAAATGTTGGAATGATTTGAAAAGGAACGGAACAGAACGGAAATTTTGGAAAAGAACAGAACGGAATGGAACGGGAGGACCGTTCTCTACTCAGAATGGAACTAAACGAGACAGAACGAAACAAGAACAGAACGATTAAAAAAGGAACAAGAACAGAACGATCTAGCTGAAGGCCCTCGTTCTAGAACAGAACAGAGCAATTTCAAAAAACTCGGAGCGTGCCCAGCCCTAGCCGACGCTGTAGTGTAGTGGTTTATATAATTTTTATTACTTAAACAGTTGAAAATCACTTTGCTCACCTTTAATTTGATCTTACTGGGGGGGGGGCATTTATCCTTACACCCCCCCCCCACAGTATATATTTCAGCATGTGCTTGTGTTGATAAATATGCTATACCTAGGGTTAAGTCGGGAAAGTGAAGAAGAAGCGGAAGTGAATGAAACCAAACCATACCAACACGCGGGAGCAGCTGTTTCGTCAGCTGAAAGGTTCAGGTAAGCTGCATTTAGTGTTTTCATCGTTTTTGTTCTTAAAATATTTTTTTTAATATTTAAAAAATTTTTTTTTTTTTACTTTTCAATATTTTTTTCTTCTTTAACAGGTTTGTTTTGGGTCTTTTTTGGTTAATTTTTTGCTTATTATTTATTCAGGATAACATTTTGGCAAATGTAAGAACAGCAAATGTTCAGAAAAAAAGCTAGGTTATAACCAGAAAGACTAGGTCTTAATTCACAGTTATTCAGAAGACTTTACATATATATTTCTGGCAATTTTAAACATACAGACCACAGTTTGGAATTGGCAGGACTAGATCTATTTTTCACCTAATTCATACTTGATCAGACAAAGCTTTTAAGGGTGCTGCTGTGAATCTTGCATTGCCATCTTTATATTTAGGGTCACTTGAAATTAAGCTTACAGTCCCTTTAAGCTTTCTGGATTTGTGAGATTACGCAAAAAATTGTATTTCATACAGTGATAACCAGAAAACTCCGAAATAGGAAGACGACTTTTTAGCAATACTTAAGTGTATTTGATGTTGTTACAAAGAAAACAGTTTTAATATACACTAATAAAATCACTAATTAAGTGAAATGGGTCTGTTTAGACTGAACCATTTCTGTGTCCCATGTTTATTGGACTATTTAAAGTCAAAACTTCAAACTAAAAGTCGTCTTCCTATTCCAGGGGTCTCTGGTTATCACTGTAATTTGTTACGTTAAAGATATGTATGCAATAAAATCGGGCATACCCTTCCTTAAACGGCAGGTCACTTGAAATTACAGCAATTTCTATAAATGACGCCAAAACACAGTGTACACTGAACAGCAACAAAATTTCCGTATGTTTTACATTCTTCCTGCTTTTCTGTTCGATTCTTTATACAAAGTTGATTGAAATTTTGTTTTTGTACTTTGAACGAACTTTGTTTCAGAGCAATAAAAAAGTTTTATTCTTCCAATCAAACGCTGTTACGCCGGAAACAAACTTTTTAGTATTAAAAATATAAAAACTTCTGATTAAAATTTCATGCACAATTATTATTTTTAGCAAACTGTAAGGTAAATTTAAATCCTTTTAAGGAAAAAATTATGTTTAAAAAAAATCTAATCCTCTTATTTTTAAATAATTTATATAAGATATGCGAACATACATTTTTACATAGAAACCACAATTGAAAATTATCTATTTTCAATTAAAAATATCGTCTCAATGAATCGGACATATGGCCCTCTATAAAGAACAATTCTTCAAGAAAAATGTCTATTAAAAATGTCTATTAAGAATGTGTATTTAGGCGACGAATGAATTACGGAAGAAAAAGTTCAGATGACACTACCAGCTCCAGTAGAACCAATAGTGCTAGTAATAAAAGGTAAAATTCACAAACTAAAAAAAGATTTTGTGAAAAAAAAAAGGCTTTTTTTGTAATATAGAATTAAATTTGACTTTGTTCAAATTAAATTTTTTAGTTAGAAATGTAGCTAATGAATTTGTAATCAATAATGATATACTGACTTATATCGGATAAAATGCCGAATGGCGCATTATAGTTTACAAAAATCTCACAATTATGGAGAGGATTCAAATATTTGGTGTATACAACTGTTTTGGGAGAAATCTATTTATGTATACTGAACATCAATTGGCCTAGCAGTTAAATGTTTCAAATAAACCTGAGTCACAGAGTGTTGTAACGATAACAGATTAAAGACTTCATAAAGACATCTTTTATTCCGTTTATGGTTATGAACTATAGATATATTTCAGGTTAACAAAAGAAGAAAAAAATATGAGTAATAAGGAATCTGAATATAGATCCAGGTAGATAAAGATGATAATGTTGATGATAGTATTAATGATAATAACGATGGCATGAATGATAAATAATAATGATGATAATATTGAAGATGAAATTAATGATAATTATAATAATGATGATGATGATGATGATGATGATGATGATGATTATCTAGATGGAATGATGACAAAGAATCAAAATATAAAGAAGCTGGGAGCTCTCCCATAAGATCAAGGTATCTACAGTCTACTTGACTTTAAAAAAAAATGTATTCTTTAAATTTTTTGTATTTTCCACAAAGTTTTAGAAAGCTTTTCTTTTGAAACAGCTAAAGATAAACTATGCGTAAAGTAAAGTTCAATCAGTTCCCAAATCTTAAATCCCCCCCCCTGTTCATGTAACCGTTTTATTTTAAAGATAATTTGCTGTCTGTCATATGGAAAATAAACAATAATGAATTATTCATTCAAATATTAAAAATACTAGCCTTTACAAAACATTGGAACTCCCCCCTCCCCTATTTTATTATTCATTTCCAGATTTAATTTCATGTATAATGGCCTTGCTCGGTACCATTTAATAAATTAAATTTTATTTGTTTTAAAATCCTTATATACAATCATATTAGGGCTTAACCTTGACTTATTATACATGGCCTAACCTACAAAGGATGAGACTCTGGAATACGAAATTTATTCTTTATTCTGATATTTCTGGTTCCTTGCAACCATGTTTCTTTCATGTCAAAGCTTTTAAAAACTTTAATGACATCTAAAACTGCAAAATTAGTTGGTAAATGATAAACTTAATAATTTGTCAAATAAAGGAACAATCTGACACTGAACCAAGTAAGGTACTAATGCAAGGAAAGTTAATTGCAGTTGCGTATACGCTGCGTACATATTGAAACCAGTTCTCTCTGGGCGGAATTTATAAACAAGAATAGATGCATCAGTGTTTGTCTAGTATCCGAGGAAAATAAAAGCATTTAATTTTTATAATTTTGAAAATTTACATAATAGTTTCCTATGACCAGAATATTTCATAGTTTATTTTTGTGAAAATGGATTCCATGTCAGGCTGTGACATCCGTCTTGTGTTTACCTTTCCGCCCAAAGACAGTACGCTGCAGAACAAAAATGTGTACACCTCTGAAATAACTTTCCTTGTATTAGCACCTTGGAACCAAGCATGTTAGAAAAAAGACTGAGTACATTGTGTACAGTCGTCTCTGAAGTCTCATTCTTTGTGGCTATCCCTGTATATTAAAAATTGAAGAATACAGCAGTGATAAAACCAACACAGCTAGAGATATCGCACAAAAATTTAACGAATTATCTCTAAAATTCATAATTACAATAAAATTACAATAGGACTTTTTTCAAAATAAAATATTTATATATTGACAACATTATTGGTTTGAAAAAATATTGATATTATTATTATTATTATTATTATTATTATTATTATT